CTTGAACAGGAAAGGCCAACGAGGGAGAATACAGGATCGGAAAATTTGCATCAGGTAAAGAAATAGGAACGGAAACCGTCTTACAGAGCTTCTTTCTTTAGCACGCCTTCGCTGTGGAAACTCCCTAGCAGCACGACTCATGCAGAGATTGACCATATTCTAACAAATTGAAAATGGTGCCTACTTGACATACACATCGGTACTCTCGTCATTTTGTACTGGGTAAAATCACCTATTTCTTCGCGCGAAGATTCCATTCAACCCTAAGCTGGAAAACAATTCATGCTATCGACTATGAGGAAAAAGTCCACCTATATACGATGAGAAAATTTTGAGCAAAACCCTATCCAAGCATAACCGGCAGATTAAGGAAGACCCGAGCGTAGGCTAAGACTTCGTTTCCTTAGGGGAAATGATCAGATCGCATCTCCATCACCACTAAGGAGTTGGTCGAGAAGGAAACTGAAGCTTGACAGTACTGCGACATAGTTAACACGGCTAGAAGTAAAGGCCAGTTGCAGAAGAGCTTTACAAGAAGATCTAAATTGGTACAGAACCAACTATTAGAAGCTTCACAAAAAGAACCAGTCTGAAGACATGCTGTCGCGACGGTCATAGAAGCTTGTCCGGAATACCATCCACCTCTCCACGGACCTCCTTCATATGAGAGATCTCGAGCCGGTTAGTGTCACGAGGCTACGTGGCGCGTCCCCAGGTGGCGGAGAGGGGAGGGTTAATCGCGGACCAAAAGCGACCTTTGTTTCCCTGAGACGCACGTCGATTTTGTTTCTGCTGCGCTGATTTGGCACATACGTTCTGTATTTGCTAGGCGTATTCATGCATGCGTGTGTGGGTGCGTTCTTACTTATGCGGATTGTATTACGAGTCAATGCGGCCAAAAGCCTGCAATCAAGTGACAGTGAAGTATATGGGAGGCGATTAGAGGTCGCCTCAAACAAATAAGCTCCATGTCCACTCTGGGAGAGCCTGGCAAGCTACCCGTGAGTATACCCAGCCCCCATGTCCAGAGCCCAGCAAACTACACGTGGGTATCAAAATGCTAAACACAGTAAAAGAAAACAAGCAGGTCTCATTCTCCTAACCCCGAAAGAGCCCCCAATTTTGCAGCGTTGGGTAGGACGAGTACGGAGAGGCTGCTAAAATCTCAGGGCCAATGGAAGTTGCTTCGATTACAAAGAACTATGGTGACGATCTCTACCTACAGTGCACGTAAACTTGCAACCGAGTCCTCGATAGAAGAATTACTCATGCAAGCAAGAAGGATAAAGTACGACGTCGTCGGCATGGTCGAGACGAGACGACGCCACCCATTCAACGCCGTCTATGAGATCGGAGAAGAACTGCTCCTCGGAACATGCGACAGTAGAGGAGTCGGCGGTGTCGGCGTTCTCGTCAACATGAGTTTGTCCATGAAAATCGGTTCATTCGAACAACTAACAACCCGAACTGTACCTTTACAATTGAAAAGATGTGGATCAATACCGGCTTTGGCAATCCTCGTCGCTTACGGGCCGACATCAAACTATGACGAAGAAGAAGTAGAAGCGTTTTATATGGACTTGGAGAAGTTCTACAGAGAAGACCATACATTTTTCAAGGTCATCATTGGAGATTTCAAAGCCAAGACTGAACCAAGAACATCGGAAGAGCGTCACATTCGGACCCACAAATTGGAATGGAACGAACAGGGTGAGCGGCTTCCTGAGTTTGTCATGGCGACCAAGACCGTCCATGATGAATCGCAATTCTAGAAGCCCCACTCTCAACGGTGGACTTGGGAGTCTCCCAATGTAGAGTAAAATAACGAAATAGAGACCTCATCACAGTAAATAGAAGGTTTTGATTAACCAATGCCTCTGTTGTCCCAAAATTCTACACGGGATCAGACCACCGTCTCCTTCGCGCGAGATTCTATTTCTCGCAAAAAGGAGAAAAAGCCGCTTAATTCAAAAACCGAAATCCCAGAGCCAGCGCAAACTGGGAGTTATCCAATTCATTAGTCGGTTTTTGGAAAGATGCTGTTGCCGAAAACATCGACGAAGAATATGATCGGCTCATTCAACATCTGCACGTTAGCGCTATGAAAACCAAGAGTTCGAAAGTCACCAAGAGACCTTTGTCTGAAGAAACTTCCGAGCTTATACACCAGTGTAGAGTCGCATAAGTTGCAGGCAAACGCGAACTAATGTCCGAACTTGCAAAACAGTGCAAACAGGCGGTGAAATAAGACCTTAGAGAGAGAAGAATAGCTGTAATGGTCGATCGAAGGTGCAGAGGCTGGGAAAAGCATTCGTAAAGTCCACCGAAGCTTCGCCAATTATAAGACCAAAATGATTGCACTCCGGCGCCCAAATGGAACAGTTACAGCGTCCAGAAAAGCAATGGAGAAAACCATTCACGAATATTGCTCGGATCTCCTCTATAGCCACGTCCACCGCCCGTTATATGAAATGAAGGAGGATGGAAATGTTGTACCACCGGAATGCAAGGTCCCTACTCAGCGGAAGACCAGTGAGACCGTGTTCTTGTTCAAGGAGGGTGACCCACACGATATCGGCAACTATCGCCCAATCTGCTCACTGTCTGTCGTCTGCAAATTTTGCACTCAGGTCATCCTAAACAGGATTGACAGAACACTAGACGAAGGACAGCCATGTGAGCAAGCAGGGTTTCGAAAAGGATTTAGCACGGTGGACCACACCCACACTGTAACAAGGTATATTGAAGTATGGCGGGAGTACAAAAGACCGCTCTGTCTCACTTCCATCGATTTACAGAAGGCCTTTGATTCAGTTGAGACTGAAGCAGTCTTGGAAGCCCTTGATAGTCAAGGAGTCTCCACTCAGTACATAAAGATTCTTCGTGAGCTGTACAAAAATTTCACAACCAAGATATCACCATTCTATAACGATATTAACACTGATGTCAAAAGGAAGTTAGGCAAGGCGATACAATCTCGCCAAAATTATCTACCGCCAACCTCCAGAATGTCATGCGCACATTGGAATGGGATAATATGGGAGTGAAAATCGATGGTCGGCAGTTACACCATCTTCGCTTTGCTGATGACATCGTCCTTATAACACCAAACATTAGCCAAGCGGAACGTACGCTTGACGACTTTGATAAAGCCTGTGGAAAGATTGGTCTTCGACTATATCTCACAAAAACGATGTTCATGAAGAACGGATTGGTTTCGTATGCTCCATTCCCGCTCAACGGAACCAACATCCCCGAATACTCCGGTTATGTCCATCTGGGTCGGGAAATCAACATGTTGAACGACTTCGCTCCAGAGTTGACCAGAAGGAAACGAGCGGCTTAAGGAACTTTAAAGGGCATCGAGGATGTAGTGAAGAGAACAAAGAACATCCGACTCCGTGCCCACATTTTCGACTCAACGGTACTTCCTGCCCTAACGTATGATTCAGAAACCTAGTCTCTGCGTAAGCATGATGAAAGATCACTCGTCGTTATCGAACGCGCAATCGATAGGACGATGCCAGGAGTATCCCGTTCCACATAAGTAAGGGATGGGATCTGAAGCTCCGATCTACGTCAACGATCAAAAACCAAAGATGCCGTTCTGTACGCCAAACGGTAGAACATTAGGTGTGCCGGACACATAGTGCGTATGAACGACAACCGATGGACAAAAGCCGTTAGCAACTGGATTCCTCGAGATGTTATAGGCACTGCAGGAAGACCACCGACTCCATGGTCAGAGTTCTTCACGAAGAACCTAGAAGAAAGATATGATGCCTGGCGAGTCCCCAGAGCGAGCAGAGCCCACTGGTCTACTCCTGCACACCACAAGGAAAAATGGAAGATTTACTGGCGCCCACTCGAGTCACTCGACGATCAACGGGACTACAGGTGATACAGGTGACCATCCACCTATAATCCTGGGTTTTATCACTACGAAAAAGTGTTTGACAGCGTCCAAAGAATTCAATCCTATCTGCGCTCGTTGAGAAAGAAGAGGACCCGTCTTATATATGAGCTCTATCCAATTGCTAGCGGAACTGCACCACGAAAATATAGTTTTCCGCCGACCTGTTACCATACCCATTAGAAAAGGTTTTGGACAACGTAAATGCATATCGTTAAGGTTATACTACCCATAAATCGGAAGAACCAGTTCATGAAAAAACCATGGCGCAAAGGAGATCAGATCAGACTAGATGGCTCTCTGATTGCGGAGACCACCTTGTGTGTACCTTGAGCGTTCAATAAGTCTGGAGGACAACATGAAGGAGCAACTAGACGGAAGAAGAGTAGCAGCTTGGGTCGCGTTCGAGCCTGGCAACGGAGCCAGTGACCACCTAAAGGACCGAAAAATTCGCGCTCACCTTTTCTATTCGACAGTCCGTCCAGGGCTCTGCTATGTACCAGAGACGTGGGCCGGTACTTCGGTCACGTGAAAAACACTACGCAGTAATTACAGAGCACTTGAACGATGTCTTCTGAAATATAACCGACACAAACACAACATCTTGCCGGAATGCGAGGCTCAGATCTTAAAAACCTATCTCATCTTCAAGATCCAAGAGAACATACAAAGAAAGCGGACAATAGGTGATCCCCTCATATAATGAGAAGTAAAGACGACAGATAGACGGAAAGAACTGTAGAACAGACCCCACGGAGGTGGACGCGTTTTCTTAGACGATTTACTGACTATGGAATGGGCCTCATATTCGCCAGCATGTTCGGATCAAATCACCACCATAGGCAATGATGAGGCAGAGAAACGAATGGAAAATGTGCGGGGTCCACACAACTCGTTAAGACTCCTCGTCCAGGTAAGCAAATAAGAACTTGGACGAAAGCTAAAACTTACATGGTCTGCCATACGTCCGACGACGATCCGCTTTAATTCAATCCAAAGGCGTTCAGCACTGATACCCTGAGGCATTTCACCGATTAATTCTCAGTCAAACAACTATTATTTGGTATGAAAAGAATTAACTCCTTTACTAGCTATTATCAAACGAAGTAAAAACTGTGAACTATAAAAGTTTAGAAATAACTAAAGAGAAAATAATGAGGGTTAAGAAAGGAACTTAACAGTAACAAAAGCGAAAATGGTGAACATGGAAGTTTTAAGAACCAAGTATACCGTGAAAACTTGGATAACTCTATAAAGGTGAATAGCAAAGAACAACAAACGTGAAGTCTCACCGCTAATCCTCCACTATTTTCCTTAATGGCTGCCAAAGTTTCACTTTCATGTTCGGTTGATGCCGAGATTCGACCAAAGAAACGAAAATACCTGAAATTGTGTGGTAATCTCTTGTCAATTGGTAAAACCATGATAACAGAGATCGACTCTCGAAAAAATGTCGACTTTGTAAGATAACTACTAGTGACCGCACCTAATTAAAGCAAGATTTTCTAAAGAAACGTACCTTAGAATTCTGAGATAATCTTCCTGAATACGCTGCACTGCATCGCCTACAAATGCCACACGTCGCTTTTCAATATCTTTCACTCCTCCAAAATAGTCGAATACGGTGCCGTCTAGACCTGCAACATAAAAATTCTTCACCTATATCATAGGCCTGAAGACCTAGCAGCTATCGATTAACTCGAGAAGGCACCACAAATTGCTCATCCCACGTTCAAATCTCAGAGGCTCAGGTTTTTCATAGGGTATGAAATGCACTATACGCATGACAGGAAGCTCATTTTTAATGTTCTTGAAAAGAGACATGCATAAGAACTTAAAGCAACAATCAGATGATTACCTTATTCTGTACTTAACATTTCATGAAACCCAGCCATTGACGGCACATATCCAGCGTTTTTTGTTAATACACACGTCAGATCCTACCCACCAGCTTCATGACGCCTTGGTGAATAAACTTACTACTGTTGACAGAAACCAAAACTCTGGACATATCATTGCAGCCTTTTATTATTACATGACCGGACACATATATCACATTACCCAGATCCTAGCACTTCTTGCAGTTGATCCGGCTGGCATTCACCATCCAAGAACGACTTCGAAATTTTCCTGCATGTAGGTTCTGTTGCTGCTTAAAGATTTTTCCGTCTTCGTTACCAATTTTGCTGAATTTCAATGGAGTCAATTCTCTTTTGAATCCTAAGATAGCCAAGCTAAAGCGTTCTCACGCGAACCAGATGGAGCGAATTTGTCCAGAAAAGTATAGTACCAATTTCTCCACCTTGGAGAGATGAGAGGCCTGGTGAGTCCAAGGCACGGTCGAGCTAGATCCGTGCTCGTAATTAACGGAGCCTACCATTGCGCTACCCGCTCTATGACAGAGACCAGAATAATAGCAATAATAACAGTAATAATACTTAAGCTTTTACTTACTATCTATTCTCTTCTCACAGCATAGTATTCTGTGAAATACAACAAGTGCGCTGAGATATGAGCGAAAATCAGAACATCAGGCTACTTCACAAAATACCCTCCTGTGAAAAAAGACTAGGCAGTAAATAAAAGTTAAAATATTGTGATTTCCACTGAAGCCTCAGCCTAACTAGGTCCAATGCTTCAGCTTCCTTGATCAATTTCGCTGATGAGTTGCTGATAGCACCGCTAGTGTAAAAAACTGGTTGAGAGGAAGGCAAAGCAAAGGGTTTCGGTTGGTGAGATGGATTGCACATGAGCCCAAGAAAAAGGAGTTAGAAGAATCGCAGGTTAGAAGTGCACCTGAGGCTCCGAGTTTTGCTCATATCTCAGCATCCCTGCCGTATTTTACATAATAATATTAGTTCCCGTGAATTCCTTATTCCAGATAAAGATTGACAACCTAACATTTTTTTCATATGACCCGTCTTCTCGTCTACTGCGCAGATCGTAGCGCTTTTCACCATGCTCGTGATGACAAACATCACCACCACTGCGCTATCCGCCCTCTACAACCTAACACAACCGTCTAAATTACACAGCAGTCGGCTTTTCTTTTGTGCACAATCACACTATTGATTCAGTAAGAATAACAGCTTTCAAACATTCCCACCGGATAGTATTTTTTAAATTTTCCATCTATGCATGACATTCCCAAACACTGACAATCACTTCCGAGAAACTTAGACTACAATGCACAAAATGCTACAACTTCGAGAGCTTCCTTTTACCTAAGAACAGCGAGTTTATTGTCAAATCCCTTCGATTCGCATCCAGATGCCAGTCAGTCGTATACTGCACTTCAGCTCGTCGTCCATCACAAACCAAATCTACTCTAAACCAACAAGTGAGACAGAAACAACTTTCTTGCTTCTCTTAAAAATCTGCCAAACAAAGGTGTAAAGAAAAGCGACGAGGGAGTAGATGGGATTCTACGATAGAATTAATCTTTACGTCACCTCAGCGTTGTGATCTCAAAGTTCTCTGCATCATCTATCCGACATGTTATTGTTCCGTGCTCTTCACCGCGTTTGTGCAACATACGAATCTCCTCACTTTCAAATAACTCCTAAAACGAGTTCGACGATAGAAGCAATTATGTACAGTGGGACCACGAACTGATAAGTGCTATCACGATTTCACTTGAAATATTGCAGAACTCCGCATTTTCTTTGCAGTATTTTCAAGAATGGCACAGAATACTCCTCCTACTTGACACTTCTAGACTGATCTTGTTCGAAGAGATGACTATTTCGGATTCTAGTGCGAATGGATGGTTTAGAGCTACTGTTGAAACCGACATTCCCACATCAAAGGAACGCTCACAAAGTATGGGCAAGTCATTGAAGTTAAACATTCAAAAATAGTCATCCAACATCGGTGGCAAGATGAGTCAAAACTTACCTTCATTTCCGATGGCGTTGCAGTCGTTGCAAAATCCACGTCAGCCGGTCGAATTCCCATGAGGAGATCGCGCACAGCACCTCCAGCAATTCTACTTCGAAAGTGATTACTTGGCCACTTTTGTAGGAAAGTTGTTATTAGAACTGTACATTTGGGTAACTAAAGACAGGAGTACGACTCACCGTAGCTCATAATTTTTCTTCTTAAATAGATTGGAGAGAGTATTAAGCTGTGGCGTAAACAAAGACCTAAATTTATCACTATTTTCATTTAGCCGAATAAAAGTCTCTACAGCAACCTCGTGTCACTTCAGACATGCAGAAAGTTATTTAGCAATAGTTAAAAAAAATCTTTTTTCATTTTATTTTACAGAATAAAAAAAATTCTATTCTATATAACCCGTCTTCACATCTACTGTGCGGATCCCAGCACTTCTCGCATGCGATTCGTTTCCTCGCATCCATTATCCACAAATATCTTCCAACTTTTAAGTGTGGCTTAGATTGCTGCTTAAAGATTCTCATCTCATCTTGAATGTTGTAGAATGCTCGTCGAGTCAATTCCCATTGGAGTCCTGAGATTGCCGAGCTGGAGCATTCCCAACTGCATTCCAGAGAATAACTTTTTCTCGGACAAGTCCAGTTTCAATTTCCAGACCTCGGAGGGATAACAGACTGGACCGGCCCCCAATGGACAGCTAGAAAATACTCGAGAAAAAATGAGGAAAGTTCCATGTCCCCATGGCCTAGAAGATCAAGGTAGTATGAATTACGTAGGAGACTCTACAGAAGCTTTTCATTGCGTATACTGCCCATTCACTCAATGCATTTCTACAGTGTCCTTCAGCACAATTCAACGGGTTTTTTCTCTTGTTATAGTAAGAGAGTCTTCATGGTTTCTCTTCCTGTATGCATAAAATTGTACACCAAACCAGACAGATCTTTGCTTCAAACGTTCTGTCTAACAGGAGTGAATCACTAAACACGCAGTTTTCATTTAAATTACAACCAACCAGGCTTAAACGGCCTGGTCACTGCTGGTACAAATAAGAAATGTCTTAAATGAGAAATAATACCGAAATTCAGGTGTATCGATCTTCATCGTCTTTGGCACAACTTTCTTTGTGGGGAGAACTGTTCTAACTACTGAATAACTCGACTTCCGCAATAGCGTCCACAAAATCATGCATAGACATTTGATATATATTCGATCCTGAAAATGGAAATATAGACTCCAATACAATAACAAAATCTAGTGGCTCTTTAACCACTATTTACGTCCAAAACGATGAAGATGATAAAGGTGCGTGTAGCGCAGTGGTCGGAGACGCCCTGCAATACACATGGGATCGATCCCCGCAGCCAAGGCTTAAGCCTTCCCTTCCATGCCGTCCAGGTCGGAAAATTGGTACCAGACATGTCTGCGGGGAGAGCAGCACTGACTCGATACATCGGCAGAGAATCATGAGTCATTGTGAAGACCGGATATGTATTCAATCGCCTCCAACGATGCTTAATGAAATCGAATGTATGGCGCATCCCTCAAGGATCCCTCAAGAAGGCGCGTGTAGCGCATTCGTTGGAGGTGCCACTGCGACACACACGTGGAATCGACCTCGCGCCCATGGTCCGGTAAGCCTTCCATCCCACCGGAGTCGGCCAATTGGTACCAGACTGGTCTGGAAGAATAGCAGCACTGGCTCGATACATCGGTAGCCACCGCGAGTCATTGTAAAGGCCAGACATGCATTCAATCACCTCCAACGATACTTAATGAAGTCGAATGCATGGCACATCCCTCAGGGATTGATCAACGCCAAGAGCTATACATCATAAGATGACGAAGAACGTAATCTTGTGATTGTATGGTTCCAGATTCCTTACACTTTTGTAACATCATTGCTAAGAAAAAGGTTAAGCAGTTCAAAAGTGTCGGAATATAACTTGGAAACTATCCAGAGCTTAACAAACTTCACTTTTTCACAACTATTTATTTTTACAATTGAAAAAGAGAAAGTTGACCAACATTACAAGATGAGACATGACACCTTGGATAAAATTAACAGCTAGAACCTGGATGAAAGACGATACACCAGCAAAGTACAGGATGTTAAATAACCGAGTATAGGAGGAACAGCCCCGGGGAAAAAAATAGATACACCAACTGAAGCTAAACCCAGTATTTCTCACTATAACGAGAAACGAATATGTTTAAAATCAAAGACTGTAGATAATCTTAAACGCCTAAAGCATTACATCGTGAGATTACAGAGAAGAAAAGCGGGGAATTTTCTAATGAGAACAACTGGAAATGAGACTAGATACAGAGCAGGCAATATGTGTTAGTGGTTAGTGTTAAGAGAAATGCAGCTAAAAATTCGAGGCACTCTAAACCAAATATTCATACGGGGGCCATAAATCAGCAGCACTTAAAAATTATGCGCATAACAAATTTGTCTCCAATTCGACCTGAAATCCGTAACATCAAAAGTGAGTGGTAGGAAATTGACCTCATGACCAGCATTTAGTCGCGGAGATTGTTTTTTTCATTTCATACAAAACTTAGCGATTAAAGAGGTGAGAATGTGCCGCAGATAAGCGAAAGAGGAAGTAAAATATGACCTGTTAGTACGAGAAACTTGTCTACATATCAACATTGCCCTTGAGGCAAAATGTAACTACACGAGAGATATACAAGTGTCGCAAATATGAATACGACCAGGAAAAACTAGTAGACTGTATCCATGACCTTATAATCTCATGGATAACCGGAATCAAAATCCAATAGAATAATTTTCGTATCTTCGGTGCCGTTACGAGACCCAGCTGCACATGCAAGCAAGTTATTGGTGGCCTTCAGACGCCAGATACAACCACCGCTACCGCCAGAAGACAGAAGTACCAGATCACGAATGAATTCACCTGAAAAAAGAACTGATCAAAAATAGGTGATACGTTGATCACTAGCCAGAAATAATGCAGGGAAATATGTAGTTCACGGTTTAAAAAAACGCAATCATCTTGTAAATAAATCTGTTTGACCATCACTTACTTGGATACTCGGATGGCCCGTCCTCACTGGTTGTGCGGACCACAGCATAGTTTTCATTTTTTTCGGAGTTTTGCTGGAATAGCCGTTGTGTTTCTCTGGAGCACCGAAGTCAGCATGGTCAAGGTCTGCCCTTGGTCGTCACCACCACAGGCAGTCGCCGCCCTTGTAGATCAGAGGGAGATTTACCACCATGCGACTAGTTTGATACCAGAACGTTGGTCGATCCTGGTATTAGTTTAACACGCGCGACTCAGGTTGGAAAGTCCTACTGGTGGGATGAATGAATCTCCCACTTAACAACGTAGCCCGACACCCAAGAACACCTCGCAACCACGATGAGGCGGTAGACCGATGGGTTTGACCACTACCAGTCAAATACTCATTTCCTGTTGATAAATTAAGCAGTGCAGTTTTGACCGCTATTCCAGACTAACGACAGTTAAAAAAAAAACCCCTTATATACGTACTGTGCAATATGTCACTGTCACAGTGGTTAGTTCCCTTACATACTTGGCTTCACCAATGGCCTGTGGGACAGAAACATGATAATCTTGAAAAATCAAATAAGAGATAAGCAGTATTTCAAAGGCGGTGGGATTCCAAAACTAAATGTCCACCTATTTACCACACAATCAGGAATCTACAACGGATCTTCCTGACATGAGGGACCTCGAGTCGGTTAGTCGTGAGACTACGTGGGGCGTCCCCAGGTAGCGGATAGGAGGTTAATCGCGAACCAAAAGCGACCTTTGCTTCCCTGAGACGCAGGTGGATCCAGTGTATGGAATCCCTGTTTCTGCTGCACTGATTTGTCACATGCTTTATGTATTTGCTAGGAGTATTCATACATGCTTGTGTGGGTGCATTCTCACTTATGCAGATTGTATTCTACGAGTCAATTCGGCCAAAAGCCTGCAAACAAGTGACTGGGAAGTATATGTGAGGCGGTTAGGAGTCCCCTCCTAGAAATAAGCTCCATGTCCACTCTTGGGAGAACCTGGTAAGCTACCCGTGAGTATACCCAGCCCCACGTTCAGAGCCCCAGCAAGCTATACGTGGGTATTAAAAACGCTAAACACAGTTTTAAAAAAAAGCAGGCCTCATTCTCCTAACCCCGAAAGAACCCCCCCAATTTCGCAGCGTTGGGTAAGACGAATAGGCTGCTAGAATCTCAGGGTCAATGGAAGCTGTCTGGATTACAAAGAACTATGGTGACGATCTCTACCTACAATGCACGTACACTTGCATCCGAGTCCTCGATAGAAAACTTGCTCATGTACGCAAGAAAGACAAGAAACGACGTCGTCGGCATGGCCGAGACGAGACGACGCCACCCATTCAACGCCGTCTATGAGATCGGAGAAGAACTGCTCCTCGGAACATGCGACAGTAGAGGAGTCGGCGGTGTCGGCGTTCTCGTCAACATGAGTTTGTCCATGAAAATCGGTTCATTCGAACAACTAACAACCCGAACTGTACCTTTACAATTGAAAAGATGTGGATCAATACCGGCTTTGGCAATCCTCGTCGCTTACGGGCCGACATCAAACTATGACGAAGAAGAAGTAGAAGCGTTTTATATGGACTTGGAGAAGTTCTACAGAGAAGACCATACATTTTTCAAGGTCATCATTGGAGATTTCAAAGCCAAAACTGAACCAAGAACATCGGAAGAGCGTCACATTCGGACCCACAAATTGGAATGGAACGAACAGGGTAAGCGGCTTCCTGAGTTTGTCATGGCGACCAAAACCGTCCATGATGAATCGCAATTCTAGAAGCCCCACTCTCAACGGTGGACTTGGGAGTCTCCCAATGTAGAGTAAAATAACGAAATAGAGACCTCATCACAGTAAATAGAAGGTTTTGCTTAACCAATGCCTCTGTTCTCCCAAAATTCTACACGGGATCAGACCACCGTCTCCTTCGCGCGAGACTCTATTTCTCGAAAAAAGGAGAAAAAGCCGCTTAATTCAAAAACCGAAATCCCAGAGCCAGCGCAAACTGGG